CCTGAATATTTGCAACAATTAAAATTGTTTTCTAATAGTTTTTCTGTCAACGTACCAGTTCGTGATGAGCCAAGAATGGAACGGTCGTGCAAAAGTGGAACTGCCTCGCCTTGATTTGAAATTCAAAGAACAAACATTCGCAGAACCGAATGACTCAGCGAGAAATGACTCACCCAGGCGTGGCTCACAAAGGAATTGCTCGGCAAGGAATGACTCAGCGAGAAATGATTCACCCTCATCAAGGAATTGCTCAACAAGGAATGACTCAGCGAGAAATGACTCACCCAGGCGTGACTCAACAAGAAATTACTCAGCAAGGAATGACTCACCCAGGCGTGGCTCACCAAGACGGCATGATTCTGGAAAAGGTCAAGTAAAAGGTTTCCGATTCCGTCAAAGGTATTCGAAAGGATTAACCCCGAGAAATAGAACTCGTCGGGGTGACCCATCATCATACCGAACCAACAGTACAACTGCTTCATCTTATGAAGACGTCGTTGAAGCCTCAAAGACAGAAACACAGAATTTGGATCAAAACAGGACTGAACCCCAAGAGGTTGAGATCGTTCATCGTATCCCGGATGAACTCACGCAGCGCGCCACGAATGAAGTCATTATTCCGATTGAACGCATCCCGCATCCCTCAACTGTTGTGCCTCCCAATCCTCCATCGACACCATGGTGGACAGCGGCTGTTTCTGAAACGCTTGCTTCTTTGTTTTTTAATCACGACAGAACCCAGAGAAGCGAGATGGAAATGTCCGAACGGATGCAAGCACTGGAATATCAGCATGAAGAACTGCTCTCGGAATTTCGTGTCGCGCGCCAACATCCATGTGCTATCCATTCCCCACGGCCTTATCGACCGCAGTGTCCGTGCGATGGACACCGCCCTCAAGAAGTGGCACCATCACGACCTGGTTGGTTGGGAATGTTCTCAACCTTCTTTCAGCCACCAGCTTCTCCCTCACCCCCAACATTTTTTCGCCCACAATATGCTATGCAATCTATGCGAAATTGTTCATGCCCTCACTGTAACAGCATACAAAGGACTTCAGAACAAAAACCTCTTCGGCTCTTCTGTCTTCTTGGAGGTTCGTCTTCCGCTAGTCAGCCAACCACAATTTATCTTTCTCAGGTGTTGCTCTTGTGATTTTGGGACTTCTGAATTTCTTCGACGTTTTCTCTATAATGACAAATTTTTCAAGTTACATTCTTGAGTTATACGAATTTCTCTTCGGTATTCTAATTGTCATCATCGAAGCAAATGACTTCTTCTTCTTGCTATACTTCAAAGACTGCGTCTCACGATGGTGCTATTTCTCAACTGTTCCCTATGGGAAAGTGAGTATCATCACTCTATTATATCTTTCTCATCTATTTGTCCCAACAATCGTTATCCATGTTCCTTTATCTTCTTAGGGACTTTTTTACCTCTTGGTGGGGAATTATAGGAATGTCACTTTATTCTGTGAGCCTTGCAGATTTTGTTGTTGGATTGTATGTCGTCGCCATGGGGCTGTTTTGTCTCATTCTCCACTTTCGTTTGGAGGCGTTGTTGCGTGGGGTTGGATTCACTCTGAGTCCAGGCCCAAATGTCCACGATGTGACCGAAAGCGCTCATATTGGCTGGTCGTGGCGATGAGGTTTTTTTTTGTTAGCCCGGACCTCAGTTTTTTTTTTCTGTTCCTGACAGTTGAGTCAGAAATGACACGCGATGGACAATCAGTTGCATTCAAAATCGCGTCCCAATTCAAACCTTTCGATGATCTTGATACTCAACGTGACTCGGTCACTGGGGTGTCAGTACTCGCATCTAATCCAATCGAGCCCTCAGTTGCGGTGTGTGGATCATCAGAGGGAGATTTGTGTCTAGTGGACATTAATCGGTCTTTCGTTATTCGACGATGTTGTGGACATGACAAAGCAATTACGGATATATCGTTTCTTTCGTCGGACCCTCAACTAGTCATTTCTTCAAGTCGCGATGGAACCGCATCTGTCTTTGATACACGTTTGCCTGCTGATGTGGCGCGCGTTTCCCGAGTTCGGTTGTCTCTCGACCAAGACGAGGCAGATGTTTGGTCCCTTGACGCTGGCGGAACTTCAGAGCGTCTCCTTGCATGCTCCAATTCAGAAAAAATTCTGATGTATGATTTGAGAGTTCTGACGGATGTTTCCTTCCGCGACCCAAAAAGACGGAAAAAACGCACGGACGGATTGGTTTGGACTTTCCGAGATGCTCACACAGATTTAATCAACTGTCTTCGTTTCCATCCAAGAAGAAGGTCTCTCTTGATTTCTGGTGGTGACGACGATTTGATTTGCATTCATGATACGGATCGCTGTCAAGAGGGTTATTCAACAAAACAGGAGAACAGGAGTTGACTCCTGAATCACCTGATGATGGTAGTGACAGCGACGTTCCCGATGACCCCACCTTCGTCAGTGCTTGGAATGCAGAATCCCCTCCACGCCTCGTTCGCTTTGTAGGACCGCAACAAGACGTTCTTTGTTCAATCTCAACAACAGAAACTCTTCAAGCCTGGCATTGTCGGCGGCTTTCCTCAAATGCAAACGTTCAATCTTTTAATGCAGCTGTTGAATCTTATTCCTCAGCGGCGACATCTACCTTCCCCTTTCCCCTCTAGTTCGTTCCAGTCGGAACAAGATGACGAGTTTCCCTGTTGTCGCCTCATAGCCCCCACTGCAGCTGTTAGGTGCGCTCCTGAAGTTGGAGATGGTGATTCATCAGGGTATATCGTGAATGTGGTTTACGACGATTCATCTGAACGACTTTTTGCACTTGCAGGTAACTGAATGTTCTTTTGCACTCTCTCCCTCATGAATTTCAGGGTCTTCTTCTGGGCGGCTTTGTTTATTTCACATCAATGCGACGGAGTTCGATCTTGTCGGTCCTTTCATAGCACGACCGGATTTTCCCGGGCACAACTCTATAGTTCGGTAAGTTAGCTGCCTAAGAGGGAATAACGTCAATCTGTGTAGATGCTCAGAGGTTATCGCAACATCAGCTGTTGGCTCTGTGGTTGTTTCTGGGGCGGAAGATGGTTCACCTCTGTTTGTGGACTCAGTAGAATGTACCAATTTTTTCAGTCGTGTTTTTTCATGGACTTTTCTCTGTGTTGATGACGTAAGGTGGTCGGAGGTCAGCTCCAGCAATTTTGTGCTGTCTATAAGGACGCGGATCTGAACTGACAGGCTCCACCCACCCTGATGAAAATCGGTTGTTCTTCATCTAGTGCAGATTGAAATACCTGTCGAGTTGGGTGTAGATGGACAGAAAGGGTTTGTAGATGCCAAGATTGGGATCGAACTTGGAACGAAAGTAGCGAAATAGAATTTTCGTGTTGGGTCTGCATAACACTCATCAGTCAACATCTTCACTTTGATCTCTCACCAGAGGCACCGCCATGAAGTGTTTGACAATCACCCCCCGCGATTTTGCTAAAAATCTTCTGCAAGCGCACAAGATGCTCTTGATTTGATCGAAGTGCCGCAACGGCCACTGACTTCATCGTGCGTTTGTATTGCCAATCGTAAGCATCCCAAAGGAGATCCTTCGTGATTGGCCGTCTAAGAAAGTAAGGAATAGGAAAGAATGAGAGAACAATGAATAATGAGAGAGCAATGAATAATGAGAGAGCAATGAATAATGAGAGAGCAACGAATAATGAGAGAGCAATGAATAATGAGAGAGCAATGAATAATGAGAGAGCAATGAATAACGAGAGAGCAAGGAATAATGAGAGAGCAATGAATAATGAGAGAGCAATGAATAATGAGAGAGCAAGGAATAATGAGAGAGCAAGGAATGAGCACATGAGATGCAGGCCGCCGCTTACACTCTAGATTTTTTATGTTCGTAGAAAAATCTTCCCTCTCGAGCATAGCGACCTGCCATTGTATTCGACTGTTCGATTTTATGGAACTTTGGTGTGCCAAAAAACCAGATGTTGGGAAAGCTCGATGTTGAAAAAATAGACGTTGAAAAAATGACAACAATGACTCCTCCTTATTCCTTGGATTCTTTGTCATCATTCTCACTCTCATTCTCCTTATCGCCATTCTTACTCTTTTTATCTTTCTCAAAGTCCTGAAATGAGAAACATACTTTCCAAGATCTATTTGAGAAAATCACCTTTAATGCTGTGTAGTACTCGTTCCACTCCTCAAAGATCTCCTTCGTCATTTTGAGAGACACGCGAGTGACCTGAAATCAGAATGAGGGGGAAAAATGGACGCAAACACCCACCCGTGTCTGAAGTTTGATCTCCTCAACAGTGCAGGTGACTTTCAATTCTTTCTCGTAACATTGTGTCAGAAATGGTGAGTGAGCAATTGCTTGGAAGGACCGATCTTTGCTGTTCTCAGCCTCCTTCAACTTTCTGAACCACAACACGCCATGATGAGAATCGACAGAAGATCTACGTACTTCCCAGAGTGACAGCTTTCTAGTACAGCAAGTATTTTCCCTTCTGGAACATGCTCATGAGGCTTGACCGGAGGTCCGTGCCACCAAACCGCCTGAGAAAAAAGGAAATGCGAGAACTTCTCACTTTGAAACACACCATCAGAATTTCAGAAGACTCGGTTGACATTCGCAAGAAATTGACAGGATCTTTCGGAGGAAACAGAGCAACAAGCTCAACTGAGTCATCATGATCGATCTTGTGGAAAGGGGTTTGATAGCAGCAGCCATTAACTCTCTTTCTCAGTCCATCGGCATCCACAATTTCCAAACGGCAGAATCCAACGAAGGCTTTAGGTTTTTCATCTGAAGAGTTTTTAGCGTCAACCATTTCTGATGGAGAGAAGGAAAAAGGTGATGCATGTCGATTTGGAGATGCATGTTCGCGTGTCTCTCCACAAGGCATCATCATGAAATCGACAGTAAGTCCCGTGATGTACTGTTGCCGTCTCAGCCATTTCTATTCAGGTTCCTTTTGTAAAAGGGGGCACAATTCATGAGGGCCACGATCATGACCACAGCCGTAATCACGGCCACGGACACACAGTATGTTAGCAGGCGTTCCCTCACCCACTGTGTCTCTAACAGCACGAGCGAATGGAAACTGCAGGAGATTTCACGTCACGCGAGCCCCCGATTCGACGGGCAGATTTCCGTAAACGCGCCTTCACGGTTGGAATTGGAGGACCAGTTGGATCCGGCAAAACTGGTAAGGACGTCTTGAACGGTTTTTTGGCATTTGTGTCATCAGCTTTAGTTCTTGCCCTGTGTGAACTGTTGAGGGATCACATCAGTTTGGCTGTCGTCACGAATGATATTTTCACTCGAGAAGATTGGGAGTTTCTCGTAAAGAACAAAGCAATTGAGAAGAGTCGAATGGAGGCTGTCGGTTTTGATTTATTCAAATATTGAAGTGTCCATATCCGTCTGTAGGTCGAGACGGGTGGATGTCCACATGCCGCTATACGAGAAGATATTTCCGTGAATCTCGATGTAAGCCGTCAGTCTGATTGAATTCAGTCTTACTCGAATCTTCAGGCTGTCACGAGACTGACAAAACTTCATAATCCTGAAATTGTGTTCGTGGAGTCCGGGGGTGACAATCTCGCAGCGAATTTCAGCCGAGAACTTGCTGATTTCATTATATACATCATCGACGTTGCAGGTGCATCAATTCTATGAGTTCGCCGCGTTCATTCTTCTATCATCTACCAGGTGGCGACAAAATTCCTCGTAAGGGTGGACCTGGAATCACTCAAAGCGATTTGTTTGTCATTAATAAAACCGACTTGGCTGATGCTGTTGGAGCGTCACTTGAAGGCATGAAAGTTGAAAGTCATCGGATGCGACAAGGCGGACCTACAATATTCGCCGAAGTCAAGAATAGACGAGGAATTCATCAAATCGCTCAACATATTCTGTCGAGCTATGCAACACACACCGGCAACAAAATTCCCGTGTCTGATTTAAGTGTTTGATTTTCTCTTGCGTCAATACCAGATAAAAGTTCGAAAGTCGAATAAAGTTTCTTGATTGCGGCAAAAATCGTTAGAAGCATTTACGATGGACAATAGAAGGTCCCGATTCATCGTATTCCTCCTTCGTGATCCACATGCTTTGGAAAGTCGAGAGTGACGAAAGAATCGACCCTCCAATCCACACGGAGTATTTTCTCTCTGGTGGAGCAATAACCTTCACTTTGATGGACGATGCGGTCAACGCGGAGATTTCTTTGATCATTCTGTCCGCAATTCCTTCGTACATCGTCGTTCCGCCAGACAGCACAATATTTCCGAAGAGATCGCGTCGAATATCGACATCGCACTTCTGAATGGATTCGAATGTTGTCTGATGGATTCCTTGGGCTTCCTTTCCGACAAGACTTGGCTGGAACAGCGCTTCAGGGCAGCGGAAGCGTTCCGTTCCAACGGTAATGACTTGCCCGTCTGGCAGCTCATACAACTTCTCAATCTCGGCGCTTCCATCGTTCGCTGCTTTGATTTCGGCGTCGAAGTCAAGCGCAACGTAGCAGAGTTTTTCTTTGATATCTCGGACGATTTCTCTTTCTGCAGTTGTGGTGAACGCGTATCCTCTCTGAGTGAGGATTGTCATCATGTGGTGCGTCAAATCTCGGCCAGCGAGATCAAGTCGAAGAATTGCATGAGGGAGAGCGTATCCTTCGTAGATTGGGACAGTGTGCGATACACCATCGCCGGAATCCATAACTATTCCAGTCGTACGACCAGACGCGTACAACGACAGAACGGCCTGAGCGAACGAAGTGTGATAAAGAGCAGTCTACCGGCTTGATGCCCCAATAGAAACTAGGAAATTTTAAGGTCTTACCTGGATTGCGATGTAGGACGCCGGAACTGAAAATGTTTCGAACATCATTTGCGTCATTTTTTCTCGATTCGCTTTCGGATTGAGCGGCGCTTCCGTCAACAAAACGGGATGCTCTTCTGGCGCGACACGCAATTCGTTGTAGAATGTGTGGTGCCATACACGCTCCATGTCATCCCAATTGGTGATGATTCCGTGTTCAATAGGATACTTAAGGATAAGGATTCCTAAAACGACATTCACGAGGTGAACAAATATCAAATAAGATCCCACAACAAAGCTATGGATTGAGTGCGTACCTCTCTTGCTTTGTGCCTCGTCGCCGACGTAACACTCTTTGTCTTGCATCCCAACCATAATTCCCTGGTGTTTGGGACGACCGACTATAGAAGGGAACACGGCGCTGGGGGCATCATTCCCTGCAAGACCAGCCTTCACCATTCCCGATCCATTATCCACAACAAGTGAGGTAAGCTCCTCTCCCATTTTGCTGGAAAAAATTTAATCCGAACTATCGAAAATAAAAAAACGTGAATGCAAGGGCGCCAGATTCGACGGACAGTATTAAGTGATCTAGAATCTATTTCGAAACTCAAAAACATCTATTGGAGTAACCGACAGGCCAATTGCCTACCTGAAATAAGTTTGAAGAAATTAAAACAATTAAAGCCAAAACGATATCTGAAAAATAAGAAGAGGATAAGACGTTAGGATGGACAAAATATCTTACTGATACGGAAGCCAGAGAAAAAATTTAGCGACCTTTTTGTTTCTGCGGGGCGACGAAACTGGAGGACTGGTGTGTCTTTGTTTGTGACATGCGCGTGCAGCACCGACATCCATTGAACGGGACCTGAACTCTTTGTAGTGCGCGAAAAGTTGAAACATTAACAATAGGTCAAAAGTGTGCAATGTTACCGAAACAACTTTTGTTGTTGAAGATCCACTTACTCGATTTAGATCTACGAAAAACCTGAGAGTCGTACGAAACACAATAGACGATATTGGAACACTTTTTGTGCGGGGGGGAGAAGGGGTTGAAGGTGTGAGCTGTTTCAACTAGCGAACGAAGAAAACATAATCAGAAGGCTAATACGATGATGCGATACATGCATCCTTGGAATAGAGAGTTACGCCTGCATTTTAACGCGATCGAGGCATTCCCAGGTAAGAATCGAATTTCCACGAATAACAACCATCCCTAATTCATTTTTTTCGGTCGGGCTGACAACTTCGACAGTATTGTCTAAAACGATGTTCATGAAATTATCGTAACCACGAAGGACTCCGACGACATGACGATTTCCATTGAGACGAATGTCCAAACGCTTCTCCATAAATTTCTTGAGATTTGCTGCCGCCTTGCCCGACATTTTAAAACCTGATTAGATTTATTGTTTGGATTCCAAGTGACCCAATAGAAATAGTCATTCAGTTCGAACCTGCTGATTGAAAACTGCCATGCCTTGCGTGATAAGCGTCAAAAAATGGATAAAAATACCAACCGAAGATGACAGAGATGTCAGAAGCAGGGGCAAGAATTCATAATTTGCAGAAATAGAGAAAATTAATGCATGGAATTGCTTCCACATCGATTGATAAACAATGAGAAAGATCATCCAAACAAATTGAAATAATTGAACTTTTTTTGAATGAAGAATTCGATTGCTCCAATTACTGAATTGATCAGGCTTTGATGATTTTCTGCAAAAGGTTGAATATTCTAAACAAGAGTAGGTGAACCAAGACACCAGCTTAAGAACGCCATCCTCGCTGTTCGGAAGAAGAGGGAGTAGGGAAAAATTGGCCCAGAGATTGAGAAAGAAAAACGAATAATGCATTTCGGGAGAGTTGACAAGATAAATGGGAAGTGACAACAAGAGTGTCGAGTAAAGTATTTGCTTTTCATGAATATGCCATCCGACAAGAAAACATAAGTAATTACTCAAAGCAAGAAAGAATGGGAGTTCCAGACGTCTTGATCTGCATTTTCCAGTTGTTCGCCTCATCTCCCGTTGAATCATTTTCCATACCAACCATCCACTACAAAGAACCAATAGAAGAAGAGAAACTCGTGGAACTACATTCGGAAGAATCAGTGGGTTCCTGTTTCCGGCTCCAGTGGTTGCAATCGGCGATGAATGTCTGAAGGAACGTGGGAGAATTTTTGCAAGGAAGAGATCCAAAGTAAGATAGAGAGGCCAAACATTTGGAGCCCAATAGGAATGAACCAGACCGCGACCAAAAGGGAATAGACGCGAAAGCAAAGGGCGTAGCTGGCCAGTCATGAGAAACGGAAGAAGGGCGATTAATGAGACTCCAGAAAAGATGGACGCGAGAATTGAAAATCTGGTGATGAAACGATTTGTCTTGAAATAGGGATGAGAGCAGTAATCGAAAATAAGGAATACGGCCATTGGAAGACTTACATAGAGAAATATATGTTTGAGATAAATAAGAATAGAAAAAAAAAGAGCTGAACGTAATGAATTGCCTTGAAGGGCGGAAGATACCGAAAAGAAAAGGACTCCCATCAAAAAACCATTATACTGAAAATGTACATGATCGACTATCAATAATCCAATATTTGAAATTGTAAACAACGATGGGGCGACGGAAGATGATAGGGACGATAGGGCATTTGTGTCTAGGAGACATTTTATTGAGTTTGTCAATGAAATACAACCGGGAATCAGAACTGCGAGATCAACGATGACGACGGAAAGTCTTTGAAATAAAATGACGTGCTGCGGGGCGTAATCAAGAGAATCCACCCGAAGCATCAACGGATCATTGAAAGAAAGGAAAGTCCCGATTGGATGCTTTGCGAATAAAGAAATCCAATATTCGAAATACGCAAAGAATGGAGGATAATCGAGCGTCCAAATTGAAGTTTTCTCTGTATACCATGTGGAGAGCGGTGTCGAAGACGTAATAGCCAACCAATTTCGATGAACTTCAAAGTCGGTACTACGATATCCAGTCGTTGATAAGAAAATCAATCTGATACAGGTCGCTACCAACACGATGAGTGTTGATGATTTCTCTCCAACCATATTTTTTTAGTTTTTTGTTGCCCTTAACAGGCACACACGATGGCGGACTTCTCGAGCAGCATCTATGTGGCGTGAATCTGTGGCAATGTCGAGCAGAGAAGACTATACAAAGTACTTTTCCTCATTTAGTCCTTGTTCCTATTTTTATCATGAATTCCTCTCCATCATCAGAAGGATTCACATCTGCGCCGGACTTACAACATGATCATGAAAATGTTGAATCTCCACGAACAGTTGGTGAAATGGAAATGGATCATCCAGAACCGCTTCCAAGAATAGAGGTATTAAAACCTCATCAGAGTGTTAGACATCCATTTATCAGATTACGAGTGAGAATCATCGTGTTGCATGGAGTGGAGTGGTACCGACGTTTTCTCCTTCATTGCCGTCTTCGCATGTCGAAGAAGAAGATAAAGAGGAATCGCTGGAGATTCGCACGGCGCTAGACAGGTGGGACTCTCTGCTGTTCAATCTTATAAATGTGATGAATTATAGAATAACGCAGAAACGCTGGGAAGAGAAAACTCGATATGAAATCGATCTGTCTGGCTTAAAGGCGGAGATTGGACGAAGGGTAAGAGAATGAGGAAATGTCGAGAAATGTGAAACGTGGTTTAGACGCGATTAGAGGCGGAGATGAAAGAGAAGCTGGAGGAAAAGGATCGTGAGATTCGAGAAGTGAAAGCTCATAATCGATCTCTGCGCCAATTGTTATACGATGGGGATCAAGCCCGACACGGCGCTTTAATTCATATCCTGGAAAATCAAAACCCAGATCTTGATAAATCAATCAACCCAAGTACTCTGTTGAAGGAGAGGCGGTGTCAAATGAAGGGAACAGTCGATGAAGAGTTGAAGGAAGCATTAGAAGAGTTAAAGGGATTCAAACCACTTCATACACCCGTTAGGTAAATCTATGGTGACGACGCTTATGGGGAAATATTTATATAACATCATGATATTCTGCGGATCAGATCATGTTCTTCTTCTTCAGTGAATGGTACCGAACGACGATCAAAATTTGGAATTTTTTAAGAGTTGCTTTTGTTGGCGTGAGTATTCCAGACAAGCCAACCCAAAAATTGGTACAAGTTGCAAAGTAGGCGCGAGAACGATCAGAAGTGCATTTGCTTTCATACTTTGACGTTTTGTTCATTTTTGTTCATGCAGAAATCGCTTGATAGCCGAGCGACAAAAGTTAACAGAAGCACTGAAAGAACTGCAGTACCACCAAATACGAATTATTAAGAAAATGGTACGTTTCTCGCCATCATCACTTTGAAATCTTCAGTTGAGATTCATTCTACTTGAAAGTTGCATCTCTTCTGCTGATCCCCCACACTTCATGTTCTCTTTAGACGGCCGCGCCAAAATTATACGAAGAAGCTCAAGTTCAAATAACATTTTATAAAACACAAACCAGCGATCTCACAAATCTTATTCAACAAAAAGACAAACAATTGCTGGAGTTGCAGACAGCATGGGAGGAATTATCAGGAAAACACGCTGAAGTAAGGAATCAATCGTTGTCTTCTCGATTCTTTCGTTTTCTCGAAGGCTTGTACTCAACTGGAGAAGATGCATGAAGCTGCCCAAGAGAAGGAAGCTCAGCTATCGAGATTGAATAACAATTTGATAGAGAGTCAAATTCTCATTGTTGAGAAAGAGAAGGAGAAGAAAGAAGCGATTGAAAAAGTAACAGAAGAACTTCGTGAGGTGGACGGGAAGAGGGATTTTGCGGAAAATCAGTTTCGTGTTGCTCGAAGACGTCTGGAAGATGAAAAACGTCGAGCTGATGGATTTGAACTGGAACTGAAAGAATCTGTTGAACGCGAACAGCAATTACAAGACGGTGAGAGAAAACTGAAAGAAGAAAACGGGGCGTATGGCGCTGCAGTAGACGCATTGAAGGAGCTAATGTGAGCAATTTTCATCATCACGTTGGGATTGAGGGTTGAATGTTCTGTAGAAAAGCAAGTCAGTCGAGCCTCCTAGATCTCGAAAATATAAACGCATCTCAAGAGAAGCAGATTAATGAACTGAGAGAAGACAAGAATTCAGATCAACGGTGGGATAAGAATGATTGATGATAGACTCACGTTTATCTTTTAGAATTATAGAAGATTTGAACCTCCGAATTCATGAATTTGAGAGATCGAAGTCAGCAGCAAGACTGAAGACGACGAGATTATCTCCTTGTAACATTGGGGGTCACGTCCCAAGAATGGCACTTCATGCTGCAACTTCGATTAGCATGTTTTCACGGCGATTATCAAAAACGAGATTGAGGGAGTTGGCAATGATTTCAATGAAGCGAAGTAAAACTTTAGCGAGGAAACTTCTCATCCGAATCAATCATTCTCCAATCCATCGCAGCAATAAGGGCTTGCAAACGGATGACTTGAGATCTTTGAAACGAGCGGTTGTAGCAAACATTGCTGTTCATCCTTCAACGTTGAGGAAGGTTCCCTCAGCCCCCCAGTGGCCAACGTTAAGAGAGCCTTCTAGACGCAGAGTCCAATTGCGCCGGAGTGGTCTGATCTCTTCAGTGAAAATTTCTCCCAAACCTTCAAGAGACCAAATTGGTGATGAAGTGTCTCCCGCAATACCTTCTATAACGACGCCCGTTGAACAACAAAACCGTCCTCCCGTCAGTCCAAAGTCGTTTCTCGGATTGACTCCCATCGCGCCAATCCACCTCAGAGGAGAGAGCCGTGCGTTGAGCAAACAGCTCACAAGAGAGGCTTGCCCTCCGGTTGTGATCGAACCAAAGGATTCCGTCTTTCCTATTTTTGTTCAAGCACCAGAAGATGTAGTAACGAAGCCGCTGGAATTTGCCCAGGAGCCTTCGCCCCATCCCAGAAGAGTCTCAAAGCTTTCCTTATCGCGAGTTTCACCCCTAAGAATTCCATTTGAAATATCAGATCAGCGCGACCTTGGCTCGATGACTGTGTCTGCATTGGAGACAGAAGAGGGTAGGAAACCCGCTGAGGTGAGGATGCGAGCTCAGCAGTTGCGTGAGTTGGAGAGGCTTCGGTACGAAGAGAGACTAAAATCGGGCATCAGTGATGTTGAACGGAAAATGGAAGAGGGCGAGAGAACCCATAGAGAGGAGTTGGAAACACTTCGCAAAAGCCATGAGAGGGAACTGAAATCCGCCATTGAAGAAGAAGTAGAACGGAAAGTCAGAGAGCTGAAGCAAATCCACCAAGCTGACATAGACAAACTTCGTGAAAGTGATAAAGGGCATCCCTTGCCTGCGTCTGGGGAAGGCCTTGAGCTCCAAATGGGAGAGTTGAAGAGAACCCATAGAGATGAGTTGGAGAAACTTCGCAAAAGCCACGAGAGGGAATTGAAATCCGCCATTGAAGAAGAAGTAGAACGAAAAGTCAGAGAGCTGAAGCAAATCCATCAAGCTGAGATAGACAAACTTCGTGAAAGTGATAAAGGGCATCCCTTGTCTGGGGAAGGCCTTGAGCTTCAAATGGAAGAGTTGAAGAGAACCCATAGAGATGAGTTGGAGAAACTTCGCAAAAGCCACGAGAGGGAATTGAAATCCGCCATTGAAGAAGAAGTAGAACGGAAAGTCAGAGAGCTGAAGCAAATCCACCAAGCTGACATAGACAAACTTCGTGAAAGTGATAAAGGGCATCCCTTGTCTGGGGAAGGCCTTGAGCTCCAAATGGGAGAGTTGAAGAGAACCCATAGAGATGAGTTGGAGAAACTTCGCAAAAGCCACGAGAGGGAATTGAAATCCGCCATTGAAGAAGAAGTAGAACGAAAAGTCAGAGAGCTGAAGCAAATCCATCAAGCTGAGATAGACAAACTTCGTGAAAGTGATAAAGGGCATCCCTTGTCTGGGGAAGGCCTTGAGCTTCAAATGGAAGAGTTGAAGAGAACCCATAGAGATGAGTTGGAGAAACTTCGCAAAAGCCACGAGAGGGAATTGAAATCCGCCATTGAAGAAGAAGTAGAACGGAAAGTCAGAGAGCTGAAGCAAATCCACCAAGCTGACATAGACAAACTTCGTGAAAGTGATAAAGGGCATCCCTTGCCTGCGTCTGGGGAAGGCCTTGAGCTCCAAATGGGAGAATTGAAGAGAACCCATAGAGATGAGTTGGAGAAATTTCGCAAAAGCCACGAGAGGGAATTGAAATCCGCCATTGAAGAAGAAGTAGAACGGAAAGTCAGAGAGCTGAAGGAAATCCACCAAGCTGACATAGACAAACTTCGTGAAAGTGATAAAGGGCATCCCTTGCTTGCGTCTGGGGAAGGCCTTGAGCTCCAAATGGAAGAGTTGAAGAGAACCCATAGAGATGAGTTGGAGACACTTCGCAGAAGCCATGAACAAGAAAAACAAAATCTGGAGAACCAACGCGATCAAGCGAAATCGGAAGCTCAAAAGTTGAAAAAAGCACTCGAGGATGAAAAATCAAAACAATCAGAAAACGACATGAATCTCCGAAAGAATTTAGAAACAATGAACAATTCGCTGAAGGAGAGTGAGAACCTTGTGAGACAGACGAGTGATAGAGTGATCGTCTTGGAGACAGAATTGATGCGAGCTCGAGAGGATGGTGCAACTGCGACGGGCGAGTTTGATCGCAGGATAAGAGAACTCGAAGAGAAAGTGAAACAAGCAAACGAGAATGAAAAGCGTGTGAAGATTGAAATGGAACAGATGGAAGCAAATTACCGTCGGTACGTTCAATGGTGATGAGAGAATGCAATGATGTTGTGTCTTTTAGCGAAATAGAGAATCTGCAAAAAATTTATGGCGACCAAGTTTCAGCACTCGAGGAAGGAAAGACGTAAGTTGAAGTGCAGGATCCCCATCAAATCCTCCATTCACGCAGCCGTGCGATGAAAGAAACTGAAAGCATGAAAAGAAAATTGAGCGAAGGGGAAAATCTGAAATCACATCAAATTGAGATCTTGGAAGAAAAACATCTCAAGGAGATTTCAGATCTGAGAGAGCAACACCAACTCAAGGTGAGGCATTGAAACTCGATATGATGTGAAGTGTTCTCATGCAGCTACATGAAAGCCTTCAAGCAATTGAAGAGGCCGTTGCGAAGAAGGAGAAGAAGCACCAACAGTCAGTCGTCTTCGCGATCACTTTCCTCATTTCCTGATTTCAGAGACACCGAGATAGTCGCAGCCAAATTCGAAGAGAAGGTGAAAGAAAAAGAACGAGAGCATCATGAGAAGATTCGTTCATTGGAGCAGCGAATTGGAAGTCTTGAATCTGAAGTATGTCAATGAAATGACTTCAAGACATGTTTTATTTGAAAGGCAAAAGTCGCTGGTGTGGAGTATCAGCATCGATTGGATCGAACAGAAGGCCAAAAGATTGAGGCTGAACAAAAATTGATGGACGAACGAATTAATATGGCGAGATTGAAGGTAATTTAATCGCTTAATATTTGAATGTCAAAGAAACTCAGGCGGATCTTCGACGCGTTGAATTGGAGAAAAGCGCTCATGCAATCAAATTGAAAGCCTTTGCAGAGGAGCAAGGGAGACAGTACGTCCAGTGTTGAGATACATCGTGACACTGTAAATGTCAGGCGGCGTTCCCAGCGTAGCGTTGCCATTCAGACATCATATCCTCATTTAGAGACATTCGATACATACAGCGCCCCTCGGAAAAAAACACTTCTCCCGTCTCCCCTTTGGCGGAACAAAAGGATTGGGACAACGCATCATGCCCCAAAGACGAGACTCGTGGGGCTAGCGCATCCATTTCCGTCGCTTCCTAAAAGGATGGTGACAGAATCAAAAAGGATCCATATGGAGGGATCGTGTCAGCAATTGCTGGAGGAGCTTTCGAATATCCGGCAAATTATGAATCTGACTTTCGGAAAACCAAATCTTGCTTCCGTAAATCCAAACCATTCTAAGATCGAGATGATCGATGAGGCAGATGTTTTGCCTGACAGCATCGTTTAATTCTTTGTGCAATAAAGAATTATTTGAGTGCACCTAAATGTGATTTAATGACAGAAGACTAAACAAGATGTGGAAGGGAGAAGTGGGTCAGTCAGAAATATTAGAGCACAAGGAAATATGTTCTTGTGGAGATACTGATCGATGCAAACCTTTTTACTCAAACACACACTGTCTCCAATTCCTACGTCGAGGTCCTTGAACCAACTTGTGATGTGCCATTTAATCTTTCGTACATGTATGGTATGAACAGTCCCTCTCCCATTTGTTTTTTCTGTGCACGTGGCGTGTTGCCGCTTATGTCATGTTATGTGCATGCCGGACAAGGGTCCCGGTTAGTTGAGTTCGTCTTTTTCTTGACTCGTGGAAAACGTTCTTTTCCTGCGTTTGGAACCGTCTTACATTTTTCCAGAAATAACTTTTGACTTAAGAACCATGAACCAGTCTCCTGTGCCTCCTCCCCCTGCGGACCAGCAAGGGCGCGACGGTCTACAGGTCACCTCCATCGCTACAGGCTCAAACGACTCCCATAGGTCCCAGAACATGGTGGACGACCTCCTGGGCAGTCCTCTTGAGCCTTTCCATGTACAATCCCTGAAGGCCATCGGCGCGATTGTCCCATTGACGGGACGAGTGGATTTTGTTGGAGATGTTCCAATACAGGCGGCGAACTGGTCGCTAGCCAAATGGAAGGAAACCCTACAATTAGCAACCTTTGCTCCTCTCAGCGAAGTTGCTTTAGAAGAGTGGATTGAGGATGCAGAAGCAAAATTGAAAGCGATCACCCCAACGTTATCCGTGTTCTTGACTGTTGTGGAGCTCAACAGCAGCCAGGGCCTTGTTCCTTTGCTTCAAATGGTGCAAGCAGAGTCCCAAGTGATTGGGAATCTCTCGGATTTTGCCAAATTCGTTGCCGGCTATTTATTTGATAACATGGACGGGTGCATCCAATTGGAAGCTCAAATCAACTCCCTACCAAGAGGGCAGTCAACCTTCAATGCCTATCAAAGTTTCGTGGTGAAAGTCAAACAATACGGTTACATGTGCTTACGCCATGGTAGAGCAAGTTCATTTGCTCGCCATCAACTTGCTGAAGTGTTGATAAAGGCGTTTCCAGAAGCTGTTGAGAATCGTGTACGGATGTTACACGATATTTATCAACCTTCCTCCCGCATACTGAAGCTAGCCATGGATGCGGAGATCGAGCTCAGACGAACAGGCCTTATGACAGTGGCCGGGAAAGCTGTCTACACAGCCATGGACGTGGAGACTCCACAAGACCCCCAAAGAACGGGAAGAGTCTGTTGGAACTGTGGCGACAACCACTTCCGACGAGAATGTCCTTTCCCAGATCATCGGTGTGCCAATTGCGGGGCACTTGGACATATCAGCCATTTCTGCAACAGAGGAGTCTTTAGAGACAAGGGTGGCAAGATGCGTGCCGTTGTTACACCTAAGCGTGATGCTTACAACATTGATATGAAGTTGGACAATTCCTCGACCGAACAATTAAAAGCGATGTCAGGAAACATCCAAGCAATCTTGGCGACGCGAGCTAAGACGAATGAAAAAGGTCGACAACGATATCAAAAGAAACGGATCGCAGCCGGAAAGAAACCCCGAGTTCCAAAAGAACATCCTATATACCATTGTGCCGTACCACCTTCACCTCCTGAAGAAGAAGAAGAAGATGGAACGGAAGAAGAAGATGAAGGAGAGCTACCGTCTGTGCATTGCCTGACGTTGAAGCCAGAACGGTTGTGCACAACACCAATGATGATCAATGGAATCGCCACGAGGGCGGTATTGGACAGTGGAGCCGAAATCAATTGTATAGCCAGCCTGGAAGCCGACAGGTTAGGAATTTCAGTTGATTCATCATGTCCAAAGGTGGCTTTACAAAGCCTGATGGGACCAACGAAGCGAATGCCACAATCCGTTGCAATTTCGTTTTCGTTTCCAGGCGGCGATCAAGAGGTTATTGATCGATTTTACATCTGTGAGGGAACGGTTCCCACCCTCATAGGATGTCCGTTGTTGGAGAAACTGAGAGTTGTCTCTGACTTTGGGAACCGAAAGATTACAGTTGGGAATACGTCAATTCCTTTTGTAGGGAATGTGCAGGACAGCACTCCCTTATCCCCCATTGGAACGTCCACTATGATGCAGACCTCAGAAGATGTGGAGGGGAGAATAGCCCACGTTTCGCTGGAGACAAAGGCTGCAAATCCATTGGTTGAAGACGCTGAACTGTCGAAGTTGGAGGAAGTCCTTCGTCAGTACCAGGCTAGCTTTGCTCGCCCACGTCCGGGAAACTGTAATGTCCACACAGCGCATTTGCGGGTAGACGGGCCCCCAAAACGCTTCAATCCATACACCCTTTCGTCAGCATTGCTGGAGGAGTGTTACCGTCAGGTGGAAGACTTGGAGAAAGAGGGGATGATCGTTAAGGATAACGATTGTGAATGGGCAGCGCCAATTGTCTTCGCCCCTAAGCCTAACGGGAAATGGCGAATGTGTATCGATTATCGCTATGTCAATCAATACGTACAAGATGATGTATATCCCATTCCGGTCCCGCAGGAACTCTTTATCCAGCTGAGAGAGCATAAAGTCTTCAGCACCATAGATTTGAATTGGGGATTTTGGAATGTCCCGATTTCCGAAGATAG